TTATAGTGTTTTTACCTTTCTTTATACTTTACTGTATATGACTGCTTCTATAAACAGAACATTGCATATCTTTGCCTATTTGCAAACATATTTTATTTATTTATTTATTTTCAGTTTTTGGCTGGGGCTGGGTTTGAACCTGCCACCTCTGGCATATGGGGCTGGCGCCTTACTCCTTTGAACCACAGGTGCCACCCTGCAAACTTTTTATATATGTATGTGCACATACATACACATATATGCATACATATGTGGCCATGGGCAATACAACCTAAATGAGTTTAAAATTCTAGAATAAGACAAGCATTGTGGATCATGTCTATAATCCCAGCTCTTTCAGAGACAAAGGTGAGAGGATTGCTTGAGGCTAGGAGTTTGAGGCCAGCCCAGGCAACATAGCAAGATGAAAAACTTAATAAAAAAAAAATACCCTATATGGTGGCACACTCCTATAGCCCCAGTTCTGGAGCTGCAGAACTTCTTGAGCCCAGGAGTTCAATTCAGCTATGATTGCGCCACTACACACCAGACAGGGTGAGGCACTATCTCTAAAACTAATAAATAAATTAAATTAAATTAATGAAATTATAGAATGTTTATACCTAGATTATTTGCAAATATATTTAAATTCTCAGGCTAATCCACAGACCTTTTAGCAAAAAGTCTACAGCTTATATCAAAACATTGGTAGATAAAATGACATATATAAACTAATATGTTTAGGTGCATATGGCTTTTTAAATCTCCTTCTTTAAGGAAATTTTTACTTATCTTTACCAACTATCACATAGAATAAGATATGCTGTACTGTCAATAAATATTATTTTAGCATCTAAAAATGTTGTGGTTACACTGTAATGTTATGCAATGCTATGCCATGGTATTAATGTGTTCATTCTCTGTCTCAGAATTTTTCATTCTCTGTTACTTAGATAAATTATTACCAGCTTATATTAAAGAAGATTCTAGTTATCCTGCAGCTTACAGTAACTTAGTGCACCTTTCTTAAAAGGCTGTTTACCTAGGAATCTATTGATCAACTTTAGGGTAGAAGTTTATTTATCAAGGAATCTATAGACCAACTTCAGGATAGACTTGAACCCTGTGAAATTGTATATGCACATGTGTAAATCTCTGCACTTGTAGATACAGTTCTAAGTATAGGTGTACACACCTGCATTTCTGTAAGTATAGTGGTAGGCATAGTTATGAAAAATGAATACTGTTTTTGCAATTCTGCTTCTTGTTTTTTCTTCCTGTTCTGCTCATTCTACTTAATCCTTCTAAACATGTTATTACCATTTCTCCTTCCACCTCTCCCCTCAATAAACTTGATTATCAGAGATTATGATTTACAAGCTTTAAAATATCCAAATCTGTCTGGTCATGATCTCTGATCTTGTATCTTTCTTCTATAATAATAAGTCTCCCTTCTGGGCTTCTGTCCCTTCCTCTCCACCTGATGCTGCATCTTGCTTCAGTATTCTTGTAAAACTCCTAGGAATTTACTTGATTTGAAGGACTATGATATAAAATTTTCCTTAATGAGATAACTTTATTTTAGGGAATTTTTTACTCCTTATTCATTGATCTTCACAACACGAAAATTGGTAGGGTTTGTTGGAGATTGGGGGTCCTGATTCCTCAAACCCAGTTGATCTGGTTCAGTTACTGAGTTGAGCTAGACAGTTCACTCGAGACATGGGGGTAACTGAAAGCGAATGTGAGTGGAAACTGAAAATACAACTGGAGGGGAACTGGCAGTCAGGGTAGAAAGTAAAAGCGACTTAGACAAGTTTCAGGGTATCACAGACAGATTGTATTCAGGAAGAACAAAGAAAGTTTAGGTTGGAAGTCCTAAAGCTTAGGTTAAGTCCCTCTCATGAAGGTGAGAAGGTGAGAGAGACTAGACTTAAATGTCTCCAGTGGTATAAATATTATGTTTGAAACTGTTTGCAAGTCTTTCCTTGGTTTCTCTGTGTCTCTAGGCAGTATTGGCATGTTCTATTGGCCATTGATCATTTCTTTCTATTGGTCATCGGTTACCAAGGTTACTTCATATTTGTATTCTATGGACCCCCCAGGCTTCCTGGTTCAGCAGGTCAGGATTTCCTCCCACCTCCTTGAAGTCCCTTTCTTAGTGTCTCTTCTCAAGATTTCTAATTCCAATTTTTCAGATGAAGAAATCAAACCTCAGAGTAATGTAAAATGTTTTGTGATAAAAATTCACTTACTGATAGACCTGAAAATATACCCTACATCTCTTAATTGCCAACTGAGGCCTAACTGCAGGCCTCTTCTTGGCTTAGTTACTGGAGTTAAACCAGGTAAATCTCTTGCACTAGAAAAGACAATGTGCTGATTATAATAAGAGAACCTAGACTTCAGTTTTAGCCCTGAAACTTACTAGATTTTTAACTTCATTCAAATAACTTATCTTCTCTGGATTTCACTTCTTCATTTTTTCAAAATTTTCTGGAGTTCATCAATTATTTTTCAGGTAATCAGTCATCATATCCATCCTTCTTTATTTGTTAAAAAATACTTTTTTTTTTAAAAGATAGAGTGAGTCCCACTCAGTCTCCCTGGGGTTAACTACTATGGCATCTTAGTTCATAGTAAACTCAAACTCTTGGGCTTGCAAGCCATCTTCTTGTCTCAGCCTCCTGAGTAGCAGGGGCTAAAGACTGAGGCCAGAACACCTGGCTAGTATTTCTATTTTTAGTAGAGATGGGTCTCACTTTGTTCAGGCTGGTCTCGAATTCCTGAGCTCAGGTGATCCACCTGCCTCAGCCTGCCAGAGTGGTAGGATTATAGGTGTGAGTCACCATGCCCAGACTAAGAAAATTTTTAATAATTGGTTACTCATTGATCTTACTCTCCTGCTGGGAGAGAAGGTCCTCATAATCAGGTGAGATGTGTGAATAACTCTATCTTATTCTTTGGCATTGTGGCTGAGAGCATTTGCACTTCCTTGAAGGGAAAAAAGTAAAATCTCCCATAGAATGTGCTTGTAAGTCTCATTCTAGCCTTAGGCTCATATGACCCTAAATATAACAGCATTAAGTTTTCTAAGGAGTAAAGGGGACTGAATGACTTGGAACAGGATTTTGACACGCCTATCTTCCCCAATCCCTGCTAAACTGCTGAGGCTGTTTCTCCTTACAAACGCCTCTGCACTCACTCAATTGTGCCATCGCCAACTGCTCTCATTGGCAGGGCCCTCGGAGGGCATTGCAGGCTGCTGTCTGTCACGCTGTGCCGAATGGATTGTGGGATGGATGATTGACGATCAAATAAGCGTCCTGCCTTGTGGCAACACAAACCATAACTGTTATTATTACATAGGGACCTTTCCAAAGCACCATGTTAAATAGCCCATGTGAAAGGAAATTAACACCAAATTACCATTAGGAGCTACTTTTAAAATAGATAAATTGAAGGGCCAAGAATGCTCACTTCTAATCAGTCACCAAGGCTTTTCTCATTTCTCTCTCTTCCATGCCTTGCTGAGCGCAGTTACTCATCATTTAGTTACTAACTTCCCGCAAAAGCATCTTAGCTAGACTTTTTGCTGTTGGTCTTGTCCATTTTAATCCATTTTCCACACTGAAGCATTTTTTTTTTTTTCTGGTAGATTCCCTATACTCTTCACAATAAAATTCAATATTTTTGGCATTATATTAAGTATTTTTCTTGAGGTAGGACCTTCCATATTCTCCAGCTTCATTCTTTTCTCTCTATTACTGTTCACCTCATGCCCAACTTTGTTAGTCTATTGGTTTCTTTTTTTTTTAATTTCTGCATTTTCACTAACAGTGAGGAGTTAAATGTAAGTTTTTAATGAAATAAATAATTTTCCTTGCTGAGTCAGGAGTTAGGTATTTTTTAGTACAATTAATTCTTGGCAAATCCTAAATGCATACAGTTGCTTCCAAGCATAAGGCATAACTCAGAAAAATCATATATAGAAAGCGCCATATTGGGGTAAATGATGATACCCCAAAAGACCTGTCCATGCCCTAGGCCCCAGAACTTGTGAATATTACTTCATTGCAATAGTCCCTATGTCTTAGTTTGGGGCTCCTAAAACAGAATACCATGGACTGGGTGGCTTACACAACATAAATGTATTTCTCAAAATTCTATGGCTAGAAATTCTGAGATCAGGTTGCCAGCAGACACCAGGTCTGGTGAAGGTGCTCTTCCTAGGTGATAGGATTTTGTTGTATGACTGTTGGGAGGGACACAAACATTCAGTCTATAACACTGTATATGATACAAACTGCTAATAAGTTGAGGATCTTGAGAAGTTCTTATCTGGGATGATCCAGGTTGGCCCTAATTGCAATCATGTGTAAACTTTGGAGAGAGGCACAGGGAGTTAGTTACAAGACAGAGAGAAGGGTTTTCATTTGCCTCAACTGTCCAGAAGTTGTGGCATCATTCAGACACCAGTCCTTGTCCATTTGATTATTTTATTCTTTCAGGATTTGCTACAGGGTAATTTCATAAGATCTGTGTCCTCCTTCTCACCACCTTTGTTAGAAAAGCTAAAGACCAACGAGGTTTAGTGTCTTCCCAAAGTTGTACCTGTAGTGAGGGACAGAGCCATGGTGAGAGCTTAGATCTCACGAGACCTCCAACCCCCATGGTTCTCAGCCAGATAGTTGAAAATGGCATCCTTGTTCAACCTAACTCTATTTGTACTTATAAAATGTTGAAATATGTCTGTGTCTCCAATGAAAGAAAATTCATTTAGATAAATTACATTACATCCAAATGATGGCATACTGGACCAAGCATTAAAATATTCCTATCTTTCAAATGGATATAATGAAAATTGAAGAATGTACATGAAAATGAATTTACAATATCCTAGTAGGGAAACAAGAAGCCCACAGAAGAGAATCCTGGTTATAATTTTGTTTTTATAAGCAAATCATAAAAGAAATATATGAAATATATGTTTGAAAAAGTATACACCATAGGGCTAGTTATAGTAGCCTGTGACCACAGAGTTTATAGGTTTTTATTGTTTGTAACATTATTTCATTTCATAATTTTACTGTAATAAATACATGTTGATTTCTCAATAAAAAGTCTTTTATTTTTAAATTTCAAAGAATACCTATTGTGTGCCTATTCCTCAGGTGCTATTCAAGAGCCAGTTGTAAACATTTGATCTATATTTTAAGCGAAGATTATGTTAACGGCTTGGCATTCAGAACTACCACCAGGCAAGAGATCCAAGAAGAATGGACAACAAAGAAGCAAAAATGAATATGAATGTCAGATGGTGAAGAGGAGATGCGACCAGATATACTGTAGAAGATGGCACATTGAAGGATGGGCTTTAGGTCTTTTCCCTGCTAGCTTTCATGATTTGTGTTGCCTTTATTAATTTTAACAAATAGATTCTTTTAAAGCATCAGTTTATTTCCCCCTCTATGTCCGATTTCAGACATAGCAGTCCATAGAACATCCAGGCAGCATAACGTGAATGTCATAGAGATAACCTTTCCATTAAGACTGATGTCCTGTGAAGTCTGGCTTGCCAGGGAAGGGATGCTTGGCAATGAGAATGAAGAGTTAGGAGAAGTTTGGCCTGAGTATAGAAGTAAACTCAGGCATGAATCAAAAGTGTGTGCAGGTCTGTACCAGGAAATGAAACTAATGTCTCACAACCACCTAGTCTTTGATAAACCAAACAAAAACATACACAGGGGAAAGAATCCCTATTCAATAAATGGTGCTGGGAGACCTGAATATCCACATGGAAAAGACTAAAATTGGATCCGCACCTTTCTCCACTCACAAGAATTGATTCAAGATGGATAAAAGATCTAAATTTAAGGCAGGAAACAATAAAAGTCCTCAAGGAACACATAGGAAAAATACTTGAAGATATCGGCCTGGGGAAAGACTTTATGAAGAAGACTTCCATGGCAATAGCAACAATAAAAATAAACAAATGGGACTTAATTAAACCAAAGAGCTTCTGTACAGCCAAGGAGACAAAAACCAAAACAAATAGACAACCTACACAATGGGAAAGGATATTTGCATATTTTGAATCAGACCAAAGCTTGATAACTAGGATCTATAGGCAACTCAAATTAATCCACAGGAAAAAAGCCAACAATCCTATAACTCAGTAGTCAAGAGAGATGAATAGAACCTTCTCTAAGGAAGATAGATGAATGGCCTATAAACATATGAAAAAATTAATATGTTCATCATCTCTAATTATTAGAGAAATGCAAATCAAAACTACCCTTAGATATCATCTAACCCTAGCAAGAATGGCCGGCATCACAAAATTTCAAAACTGTAGATGCTGGCTTAGATGTGGAGAGAAGGAAACACTTTTACACTGCTGATGTGACTGTAAAATGCTACAAACAAACAGAAAGTACGGAGAACTCTCAAAGAACTCAAAATAGACCTCCTATTTGATTCTGCAATCCCATTACTGGGCATCTACCCAGAAGGAAAAAAATCCTTTTATCATAAGGACATTTGCCCTAGACTGTTTATTGCAGCTCAATTTACAATCACCAAAATGTGGAAACAGCCTAAATGCTCACCAACCCAGGAATGGACTAACAAGCTGTGGTATAGGTATTCTATGGAATACTATTCAGTCACTAAAAAAGATGGGAGACTTTATATCCTTTGTATTAACCTGGATGGAAGTGGAACACCTTATTCTTAGTAAAGCTTCACAAGAATGGAGAAGCAAGAATCCTATGTATTCAGTTCTCATATGAGGATAGTTGATGACCTACTACATGGTGGGGGGTGGGGAAAGGGGAGATCAGAGAGAGGGAAGGAGGAAGGGGGTAGAGGAAGGGAAGAGCAGAGAAAGGAAAGGAGGGATGGGGGTGGGGGAGTCATGGTGTTTGACACACCTTTTGGAGGCTGGACACAATCATAAGAGGGACTTTACCTAACAAAGGCAATAAATGTAACCTGGTTCTTTGTACCCTCACTGAATCCCCAACAATTAAAAAAAAAGTGTGTGCTGATCTGTATTTGTGTGAACTTCGGTAATTGTACTACCTTGAAAATGATTTGACATATTTATCAAGTTTTCCTAAAATTTTGAGGAAATAATTTGAAAGGCAGACAAAAATTACATATTAATAGATCATCCCAATCAGTGGTTCTCAACATTCCTAATACTGTGACCCTTTAATACAGTTCCTCATTTGTGGTGATCCCCAAACATCAAATTATTTTCATTGCTACTTCATAACTGTAATTTTGCTACTGTTATGAATTGTAATGTAAATATCTGATATGCAGGAGACCCCGAAAGGGTCAACACCCACAGGTTGATATAAGTAATATTAAAAACTCAAAAATAAGTTAAATGTCTAAAATTATATGAATGACTAAGCAATATATGGTACTTACATGAGAGAATATTCCCTAGTCATATGGAACCATGTTTATAAAGAATTTAGGGAAAAGGCAAGATATCATGTTACATAGATTGTGTTAACTATACATAG